ATAAACACAGACCTTCCCAGCTTCCCTTGCAGCTAGGTACAGCCACGTGCCTGAGCTCTGGCCAAGGAGTTGAAATTAGGAGTAGTGTGACAGTTTCTGGACCGTTTCCTGGAGATTTAGTTGATGCCTGCCCTTTACTCATCATCCTTCTTTCTCCATCTGAAAAGCAGATGTGAAGGCTGGTGCAGTGGCTTTCATCTTGGATCATGAGAAAGCAGGGCCCACACCTAGAGATGGCAGACTGGTATACAGGAAGAAGAGGAGACACTGAGAGCTCCATAGAGTTACCAAATCCATCCCAAACTGCCTACATCTCAACTTCATTCACATGAGAGAAATAGAAACTCCTCTTATTTTGTAATTTTTTTTCAAATTCAGTGTCTTATATATGTGTGTGTGTGTGTGTGTGTGTGTGTGTGTGTGTGTGTATACATTTTTTTGAGACAGAGTCTCACTCTGTCGCCCAGGCTGGAGGGCAATGGCGCGATCCCAGCTCACTGCAATCTCTGCCTCCCAGGTTTAAACAATTCTCCTGTCTCAGCCTCCGGAGTAGCTGGGATTACAGGCACATACCGCCATGCCTGGCTCATTTTTTGCATTTTTAGTAGAGATGGGGTTTCACCATGTTCCCCAGGCTGGTCTCAAACTCCTGAGCTCAGGCAATCCACCCACCTGTGCTTCCCAAAGCGTTAGGATTACAGGCGTGAGCCACCGCACCCGGCGGTTACTTATATTTTATTATGACTACATTTGCATGTCCCCAAGCAATACAATCTGATATAAAATGTCAGCTAGAATACACACTAGGTCTTTTAATTTAATTTTTATTTTTTAAATTTTTACTTATTTGTTTTGAGATTGAGTCTCACTTTGTCACCCAGGCTGGAGTGCAATGTTGGCTCATGCAACCTCTGCCTCCTGGGTTCAAGTGATTCTTCTGCCTCAGCCTCTTGAGTAGCTGGGATTACAGGCACCTGCCACCACACCTGGCTAATTTTTGTATTTTTAGCAGAGACAGTGTTTCGCCATGTTGGTCAGTCTGGTCTCAAACTCCTGGCCTCAGGTGACCTGTCCACCTCAGCCTTCCAAAGTGCTGCGATTACAGGTGTGAGCCACCGCTCCTGGCTGGGTCTTTTGATTTCAAAAGGTAGTCTATAGGGCTTTATCAACTCTGTCCAGAATTTTGGTTGGAGTTATTAGAGGAGCCCTGGGCCAGAGAGGAGAGACCACTTGCCTGAGGCCACACAGCAGGAAAGGGGCAGACCTGGGGTTTCACTTCAGGGGCCTAGATCCTAACCCCTCAGCCTCATTTTTTGGAAGCTTCCAGCTTGAGGTGCTGCTGGGCTTCCTCCAGGCTCAGCCTGGACACCAGGCAGTGACCTGCACCTACTCCCCTCTTAGGCCAGGAGGGTCTTTCTTATTTCTATGGGACCCAAAGCAAGGTGGAAAATATGAGAGAAGCCCCTAGCTGTGGGATCCAACAGGGATCAAGTCCCAGCTCTGGGCTCTGCTGCTGGCCGCTGTGCACCTCAGGGAAGACTCCGACCTCTCTGAACCTCGGTTTCCCCATCTAATTTTAGCCTGAGCACGTCAGTAGGTTCCCCAAGGTGCTGTTTGGAGTGTCTGACACCTGAAGAAGGATACAGCAGTACTCCCACAAAGCAGAAATTTCTGGAACACAGCCAGTGTCATTGGTGTTACAAGGAGGTAGCCTACTTAGTACAAACTTTGGAGTCCGTTCTGGGTTCAAATCCTGGATCCATAGTTAGCCACTGTGTGGTGCTGAGTAAATCACTTTCCTGGTTAGTTTTCAACCTTTTTCCTGGTTGGAAAATGGGGGTTCATTTGTTGGTTCTTTCACTAAGTGCATATGTGCTAAGCATATCTTTGTACCAGACTATTTCTGGGTGCTGGAGATGTGCGATGAGCAGGATGGGTGAAGTCCTTCCTCAATTGGGGCCAGACAATGAAGAAACTGACAGAAGTGACAGTGGACACATACAGAGCAAACTAAAGCTGAGTGAGGGAGTGGGGGCCATGGAAGGGCTTCCCAGGCTGGGCTGGTCAGGACACTGCCCTGCACGGGGACATTGGGGCAGAGACCTGACTGGCATGAGGTTCTAGCTCAGCTAAGTCCATCCTTCCCATTTCCCAGAACTGTTCCTGGCCTCCTCTAGCTGGAGTCTTCAAAACAAGAACCACTGGATGGCCAGCTCCGTGTCCTGGGCACCAGCCCAAGGTGGCTGAATGAGGCATCCACTTCTCTTTGTCTGCCATTCTTTCCTGTCTGGATAATTGCAGTAGCCTCTCCCCATGGGTCCCCCAGTTCCCACCCCCACCCTCCTACAGTCTATCCTCCCCACCGCATTACCTTCAGTTCCTCTTGCCACTGAAACAAATGAGCACTTACTTAGTGGCTGGAAACAACACACATTTATTCTCTTACAGTTTCAGAGGGGAGAAGTTGGGATGTTGGTAGACCACTTCCTTCTGGAGGCTCCAGGAGAGAATCTGTCTCCTTGCTTGTTTCAGCTTCTAGTGGTTGCTCAAAGCCCTTGGCTTATGGCCCCACCCTTCGCTCTCAAAGCACATCACCGCAGTCTATGTTTCTGTCATTCTCTCTCCTCTCTGCCTTCTCCTTCTCTGTAGGCATGTCTCCGTCTGCCTCCGTGGTATAAGGACTCCTGTGATTAATTGGTCCCACCTGGGTGATCCAAGATAACCCTCCCATCTTCAGAGCCATAAATGAATCACAGCTCTGAAGTTCCTTTTGCCATATAAAGTAACACTCACAGATTCAGGGATTAAGACGTGGATATCTTTGAAGGGCCACTATTCAGCTAACCAAAGCATCCAAGAGGATCTTATCAGAACTTGAATCAGACCCTGTGCCTCCTCTCCTCAAAACCCTGCCATGGCTCCCACCTCCCACATGCAAAGCCCTTACAGTGGCCACATGGCACCACACATCTCTTCACTTGTGACTTCCCCATCTCATCTGCTTCTCCTCTCCTGCCTCACTTGGCTCCAGTCACTGGTCTCCTGGCTATACTTCAACACTCCAGGCAAGCACTTGCGTCACGGCCTTGCCATGTGCCTTTTCCCATGTCTGAAACTTTCCCTTCCCTTCCCTTCCCTTCCCTTCCTTCCCTTCCCTTCCCTTCCCTTCCCTTCCCTTCCCTTCCCTTCCCTTCCCTTCCCTTCCCTCCCCTCCCCTCCCCTCCCCTCCCCTCCCCTCCCCTCCCTTCCCCTCCCCTCCCTTCCCTTCCTCTTCCCACTCCTCCCCTCCCCTCCCCTCCCTTCCTCTTCCCACTCCTCCCCTCCCCTCCCCTCCCTTCCCTTCCTCTTCCCATTCCTCCCCTCCCCTCCCCTCCTCTCCCCTCCCTTCCCTTCCTCTCCCCACTCCTCCCCTCCCCTCCCCTCGCCTCCCTTCCCTTCCCTCTTTCCTTTCCTTTTTTGGGACAGAGTCTTGCTCTGTCACCAGGCTGGAGTGCAGTGGTGCTATCTCCACTCACTGCAACCTCCGCCTCCCAGGTTCAAGTGATTCTCCTGCCTCAGCCTCCCAAGTAGCTGGGAATACAAGTGAGTACCACCATACCTGGCTAATTTTTGTATTTTTAGTAGAGAGGGGGGTTTCACCATTGGCCAGGCTGATCTTGAACTCTTGACCTCAGGTGATCCACCTGCCTCAGCCTCCTAAAGTGTTGGGATTACAGGTGTGAGCCACTGCACTCTGTCACCTGGAACTTTTCATTCCTGCCTCTTCCTAAGACTGGACTTTTCTCTTCCCTTGGGTCTCATCTCAGAGAGGCCCTGTTGGACACTCCCCTCCCTAGAATAGCCCTTCACCTGCCCCACAGTTACATTTCACACAATCAGAAGTGACCTTGGTTGTGTGTTTGTTTTTTTATCTCTCATCTGCCTTCCCCACCAGACCATCAGCTCCTAAAGACCCAGGAGAGGCTGGCTCTGTCTGGTTCTTGGATGTATCTCCAGCACCAAGGACAGAGCCTGGTACATAGTAGGTGCTCAGAAAATACGTGCTCCATGAATCCACGCATGTTTTATTCCAAATGTCCCTCGATGCTGCCATGAATCAAATACCAACTCATTTTAAGGCATTTGTACATTCTCAGTGACTTTGTGGCTGGATCTTTTGTTCTGTCAATGACTAAGGCACTGCCCTCATATATTGAGAGGAGGCAAAGCATCATCTGTACTGAGCAGGTGAGAACTCAGAAGGCTTGGAACAGAGGCAGGAGTGTTTTAAGGCAGATTGGCAATGGGGTCTAAGGAAGAGCAGGGGCATAGGTGGGCTTCCTGTGCAAGTGGCACCCTCTCTCTGTGCCTCTGTTTCTACATGTACAACATGGAGATCGTAACAGTGCTTACCTTTCTCAACTTTGGTGCTCCTGACATTTGGGGCTGGATCATTCTCTGCTATGCGTCTTGTCCTGAGCAGCATCTCTGGCCTCCAGCCACCGGACGCCAGTAACTTCTCTCCAGTTGCGACAACCCCAAATGTCCCCAGATATAATCTAATGTCTCCTGTAGGGGCAAAATCCACCCCCAGCCGAGTAGCACTGTTTGGTCAGATTATCCAGATGCTTGTGGTATCATCTTGGCACAGCCCAGTGCTCAAGTTGTGCAGGGAATTATAGCTGCTCTGTGCTTAAGTGACTTCCTGGCACTGCCGCTCCTTAGCAGGTGGCCTTGGGCCAGTGACTCCAGCTCTCTGAGCCTCACCCTCTTCATCTGTAAAATGAGATAATAATTGCACTTCACCACTTGGGGCCGTCAGAAGGATAGAGTAGATTAATCCTGAGAAGTGCTCAGAACCATGCCTGGCACACAGTGGGAATTCAGAGGCTGAGGCTGAGGCTGATGAAGGCTGTGGGAAGAATGGGAGCTAGGGAAAGGGGTCTCTGCATCCTCACCTTTGCACGTCTGGTGTGTGTGCTCCCACACTAATGGAAAACATGCGGGCATGGCTGCCCCCGCCCAGGCAGGCAACTGGTTCAGTCCCTCAGCCCTGCCAGGCCATTGAATAATTAAGCTGGCTGAGGGGTGACAGGGCTGGAAAGCCAAAAGTGACCAGGGTCTGGCCTTGCTTGGCTTTGGTGACGCGATGGCCCTGGGATCATGGCCTTCTTGAACCTATAAACAGGGGGTTGGGCCCCAAGACAGGCAAGGCCAGGCCAAGGTCTGTGCTGGTGGCCTCAAGCTAAAGTCGAGCAGGGACAGGAAGGGGGGTGCTCCAAGGCTACAGGAAAGGGAGTGCTATGGAGCGAGAGTTTCTGTCCATTGGCGCAACCCCCATCCACTCAACCCCCATCCACCCCCACTCTGGGATTCCATTTCTTTCTTCCCAGTCCTTTCTCAATTTTCACCTTCAATTTATTGAGCACTTATTACATGCAGGGCTCTTCCAAAGTACTTTCCACAGATCTGGTTCCTGCCCGCCCCCGCATGATGGGAAGGAGTTCTGTCCCCTCCCCAAATGAGCAAAGCCCTGCTACTTGGACTCCCATCACACCAGGTAAGGAGTGGAGGCCCCGGAGGCGAGTCAGCAGCTCACAGGGGCCGAGCCAAGGGCCTGCCCTTAACCGCACAGCCCCTGCTGGGCTCCTCCCTCTGTCACTTTCCCCAGCACCTCCACTTTCCTCTCTCTGACTCTTGCTCTCTCAGTGGCTTTCTCTGAACATCTTCCTACTTGTGTTTTTCTCCTTCTCTGTGTCTCTTTTCTGCCTGTTTCTCTTTTTCACTTTCTCCATCTCTCTCCCTCCCTCTGTTTCCTTTTCTCTCCATCTGTTTCTGTGTTTCTCTTTCCCACCCCCGTCTCTCTCTCTCTCACTCTGCCTGTTTCTCTCTCTCTCTCTTTCCCTCTCTCTCTCTCTCTTTCCCTCTCTCTCTCTTTCCCTCTCTCTCTCTCTCTCTCTCACTCTCTCTCTCTCTCCCCGCTCCTCTGCCTGCCTGCCTCCCCAGGCTGGCTGCCCCGCCTCACGGCTCTGTCTCTCTGCAGTCAGCCCTTGTCCCCATGCCAGCACATTATGTCCCTGGTCAGACCCTGACGTCAGGCGGGGCCTGGCGGGCAGCCACGGGCCGCTGCCGGGCAGGCAGGAGGGAGAGCTTGGCCTCCCGGGCCCCACTGTAGTGGCCGCCTGCAGCCGCCCTGCCCCGCCTGTAAAGCTTTGCTTCTCCTGGCCTGGCCGCAGCTGGCTGGAGAGTGGACGGCACTTCGTGGCTGCCTTCCTCTGCACCTGGGGCTACAGGCCACTCACCTTTTCCCTTCCCCCACTTCGATTCCACAGCCACAAAAGACTTGGTCCCAGAGGGTCGGCAGTATAGCATGGGGCCAAGTCTTAGCTGTGTGAACCCAGGCAAGTCACCCAGCCTCTCTGAGTCTCCCTGTAAAACAAGGCTACGGAGGCACCTGCTTCTCAGGTCTGCAGTGGGTATCAGCTCACAGTGGCTCACAGCACGAGCAAGGCCACAGCAGGAGTTCAGTGTCACTGCAGGGTCTAGGTCAGCAGTCTTCATGGAGGGGAGGCTGGCAGGGAGGTGGGGGGGATCTGGGTGTCACCATGACCAGGGAGCATAGCTGACGAGCGGGCAGGGATGTGCCATGGGGGACTGCCAGGCAGGGCAGCCCCACCCGCTACACAAACAGTGCCCTGCCGAGAAACCCTCCCCAAGCCCAGTTGGTCTCGGGCCCCATCAGAGCTTAAATAAGTGGTTTGAAAAATGTCATATTTCTTGTTTGGTTTGTTTGTTTTTCCCCCCTGATTTTCAAAGCAAAGTAGTTTCCTTGAAGGACATTTGAAGGGTACTTGAGTTTCCTAGTTTAAAAACAGACTTTAGGATCCGACTAACATGGGTCAAATCCAGCTGGGATACCCTGGCCAGTAGCTTCGCCCTCTGAGCCTCAGTTTCCTCATCTGTCAAATGAAAGTAAGAAATGAGAAGGTTGTGGGGATGAAGCCAGAGCATGTTTGTAAAGCACCCAGAATGGGACCTTGCCCGTGGTAAATGCTCTATATTCCGTAGCCTTTTTTTCTCGTCTTTTTTTATTCTTCTTATTTTAACCATAGGGGACACAGAAAAGTACAAAGAAGAAAACAAAAAGGTGACCCAGAGGGAACCACCTACGGTGTTCACGGGAATTCAGCTCGGCTCACGCACTTATATTGAGCTCCTACTGTTGTCTGCTTTTTCATTTTTCATGAAAATAAAACTCGACTCGAAGTCTCATTTTAAAATACCTTTGCTTATTATTATTATTTGAATACTTACACAGTCAAAAGGTTCAAAAGGTGTCCAGGGAGAAATGAGGCCACCTCGTACTCCAGCCTCTGTTGATCCATTTCTTGTGTGTCCTTCCTTCCCTGGGTCGAAGTCCTCTGCAGACCCCTGACTTCCAGCTCTCCTGCTCCTATTCATTTTGAGGTTCTTTTTTTTATTCACTCAATTATAAATCATGACATTGAACCCTAACCCTAACCCTAAAAAAATAAGAATAAGAAAAAAAATTGTGACATTATTTTTAAAAATCAGAACCTACAGACAATCAAGAGAGGAACATCAGGGAAGTGGAATGAAGCCAGGTGTGGGGATGCACGCCTGTAACCCCAGCACTTTGAGAGGCGGGAACAGGAGGATTACAGGATTACTTGGGTGCAGTTCAAGACGAACCTGGGTAACAGTGAGACCCTCATCTCTACAAAATTAAAAAAACAAAAAAATTAGCTGGATGCAGTGGTGCACACCTGTGGTCCCAGCTACTCGGGAGGCTAAGGTGAGAGGATGGCTAGAGCCCAGGAAGTTGAGGCTGCAGTGAGCCATGATCATGCCACCACACTCCAGTCTGGGTGACAGGGAGAGATCCCCTCCCAAAAACCAACCAAAGGAACAAACAAATAAAAAAGGAAAGTAGAATCTCTTGAAACCTTACTACCCCTTTGACATTTTGGAGCACATCCTCACAGGTCACTTGATGATGTATGTGCACATTCTGGTAGCACCAGGTATCTTTCCCTAGTGCTGATCAAAGGTTCAGATGACATGTTTGTGTACTGATCTGATCGTTATCTTCCTTCCCCACTGTGCGGTCAGTTCCAGGAGGCAGGTAGGACGGCGTCTGAGTCTTCTACAACATAGTAGGTCCATACCGAATATTTTCTGAATGAATGACTAGTGAATTTTCAGAAGGGATCGTACAGTATATAATACTATCCTGTGACCTATTTTTTCACTAAATGTTTTGGGGACATCTTTCCACATCTTTGGGTGGCAAATCTCCATTTTTCATGTCTGCACAAAATCACCACAATAAACATATTTTTGATGTTAGCCAGAAGCTTCTGCTGCCCCCAACCGGGAAGCTCTTCTTCAAATGCAGATCTGTTAACAAATTCCATATGACCCACCCCCGCCCCAGCCCTATGGTCGATTACTTTCAGCCTAGCACTTCACTGGTTACACGGGGCCATTGTTTTCTAGGACAAGTCAAGATTTACTGTCCGTTCCTGACATCATGTTTTTCCAGAGAAGCTTAAGAGTGAAGAACTCTTCCCTCCCTACCTCCTGTTTCCGCCAGTTAAGGGTTCTGTAGATTTGCTGAAGTTGGGAAACTTAGTGTAACCCTTGCCTCCCTGGCCACCTCACCACAAAGGGCACAGCCAAGCTCATTCATTCCTGCCTCAGGGCCTTTGTTCCAGCTGTTCTCTGTGCCCAGAATACCCTTCCCTCCGATATTTGCTCAGCTCACTCCCTTACTACTTTAGATCTCTGCTTGAACATCAATCACCTCCTCAGAGAGGTCTTCCTTAACTCTTTTTCTACATTAGCATCTCCAAGTCACTTATCCAGTGTTAGATTTCCTTTTAAACGTTTTACTTGATACTGCATTAAATCAGATTATATTATGTTGTGCTGTGTTAGATTAATATTTTGGGGTCTTAAAATTGATTGCCCACCTCCTTCACTCTGAGGACAGGGACTTGGGACTCTCTTTTCTTTTCTTTTCTTTTTTTTTTTTGAAACAGAGTTTTGCTCTTGTTGCCCAGGCTGGAGTGCAATGGCATGATCTTGGCTCATGGCAACCTCCACCTCGTGAATTCAAGTGATCCTCCTGCCTCAGCCTCCCACATAGTTGGAGTTACAGGCTTGCGTCACCACTCCCGGTTAATTTTTGTGTTTTTAGTAGAGACAGGGATTCTCCATGTTGGTCAGGCTGGTCTCGAACTCCTGACCTCAGATGATGCCCCCCCACCTTGGCCTCCCGAATGCTGGGACTAAAGGCATGAGCCACGGTGGCTGGCGAGACTGTCTTTTCTTTCCTGGAGAATTCCCAGACTGGAAACAGGGCCTGTAGCATGGTGGGTGCTCAGGAAATATTGGTTGAGTCGATCCATGTTAACTCCAGACTCCAAGGTTTCTTCCAAGCCTGAGAGCCCAATGCCATCATTCATTCATTCCAGGTTTATCTATGGAGCACCTGCTATGTGCCAGGGCTTGTTCAGATGCTGGCGTTGTTCAGTACAACAGTGGACAAGGCAGACACATCCTTCAAGAATGTCCCCTGGAAGAATGTGCTCAGGGTCCAGGAGACACGCATCCCTCAGATAATGGCACCACGTTGACTTGCTGGCCTCAAGTTGGTGAAGTGAGGACACATCTCGAGGTCCCTCCTCTCACTTAGCCTCTGCAGAGCTGGGTAAACCCTAAAGGTGACACAAACAGGAACGGTGCTGCGGTCACCTTTACTTCTCGCTGCTCTTCTCTTGCCCCCAGTGGAGAAGAAATGAAGAAGGCGATGCTAGAAACCTTTTTGGATTCTTCCCACAAGCCCAGCCGTCTCTGTGAGGAGCTGACCTTTGCCCTACTTTCTGGCTGCCCACACTCTGCAGTCATCCTTCAGGGAATTTCCTACTTCAGCAGCTCACATCTCTCAAAGGACCCGCCAGAAAACTTGCTTTCCTAAGCAGCTCGGGTGCAGGCGTCCAACGTGGGCTCCCCTGCGGGAGGCCTCCAATTAAAAAAGAAAAGAACAGAAGAGGTGGGAAAAAGAACCTGGGTCTGGAGGATGCAGTGGTGGCATCCTTGGGAAGAAGTGGGGCTCACTGGGGCAGTTATCCATCGAATTCCAGCCTGATTCCTATCTATGTAGCCCCCAGTCCTGACTCAGGAAGCCCCCTGAGGGTCCTCTGGACCACCCAATAATCTTTAATAAACTCATTTCCTGTGTAAACTAGCCAGAGGGTGCCTTCTGTCACTTGCGACTAAGACCCCAAGACTGACAGTAGATCACTCCAGGTCTCCTAAGCTTCGTGGTTTATGACTGCTCATCGATATCTTGTACTTAAGAACTATCAGAAAGTGACTCTCTCGGACTCATTTTCGGATGCTGGAGGGAATAATGTTGAACGTTGTCATTTTTACTCTGGCCCCAGTATGGGTCCTCACATCCCCTGCTGGAGGAGGGGGGCATGTATGTCAGCTCAACCTGACAGCTTTAAGAATGTTCATGTTCTTGACCCCCAAAGCCTTCTTCTGGGATTCTGTACTAAGGAATAATCACAAATAGTGACAGTGGGCAAAGACGTTCACAACAGAATTGACAAGAGTAAGGCTGGGCACGGTGGCTCACACCTGTAATCCCAGCGCTTTGGGAGGCCAAGGTGGGCAGATCACTTGAGGCCAGAAGTTCAAGACCAGGCTGGCCAACATGATGAAACCCCGTCTTCGCTAAAAATACAAACATTAGCTGGATGTGGTTGTGGGTGCCTGTAATCCCAGCTACTCCAGAGGCTGAGGCAGGAGAATCGCTTGAACCCAGGGGGTGGAGGTTGCAGTGAGCCAGTATCACACTGCTGCACTCCAGTCTGGGCAACAGAGCAAGACTCCATCTCAAAAAAAAAAAAAAAAAAAAAAAAAAAAAGAGACAAGTAGTGAGGAATCAGAATCTACCTAAATGTCCAATAAGCAGGGAATGTTTAAGTTAATTAGGGAATGATTCCTAAAAGAGTGTTAGAGACACCTTTTGCACAAAATATTAGTGCAATATTTCAGATTAGGTTCACCTTCGTGTGTCAGAAAACCCAAAATAACAAAAAAAGAGCTCAAATGAGATAAAAGTTTGTTTCTTTTTCTTTTTTTGAGATAGAGCCTTGCTCTGTCACCCAGGCTGGAGTGCAGTTGTAAAATCTCAGCTCCCTGCAACCTCCCCCTACAAGGTTCAAGCAATTCTCCTGTCTCAGCCTCCCAAGTAGCTGGGATTACAGGTGTCCGCCACCCCACATGGCTAATTTTTGTATTTTTAGTAGAGATGGGGTTTCACCACGTTGGCCAGGCCTGTTTCAAACTCCTGACCTAGTGACCCACATGCCTCGACCTCCCAAAGTGCTGGGATGACAGGTGTGAGCCACTGAGCCCAGGGAGAAGTCTGTTTCTTACATAAAAGGTGCATGGAGATGGCAGTCCAGGACTCGTAGGGTGGCTGCACAAATTCATCGGGGACTCAGGGTTCTTTTCTCTTGTTGCTCTGCCTTATTTCAAGATGGCCACTCAGGTTCTGGCCATCACATCTGCAATCCAGCCAGCAAGGAGGATGGGAAGAAGTAGAGGCACCCCTTCCTAAGGACATTACTTGGAAGTTACTTATATCCCATTGGCCACATGGACACCTAGCCGCAAGAGAGGCTGGGAAGTGTAGTTTTTCTTCTGGGTAGTCACATGCCCAGCAAAAGCTCACAATTTCCATTATTAAGGAAGAAGGAGAGATCAGAGAATGAGAGAGAAACAATAGACAACAATTAAAGAGAATGTCAAGGAAGATTTTGTAATAATATGAGAAGTATGATTTTGAAGACTTTGGGACTAGCAGGATTTGAAATTGTACATACGGTGTGATCGCAACTTTATAATAAAATTTCAAAATGGAGAAAGCTACTCAGAGGAGCAAACTGCTAGAAAATTGGCCTCTGTGGGTGACCTCGGTAAAAAATTCATATTCTTCTTTCTATTCTCTATTTTATGAATTTTCAATATTCGAACAAAGTTAACTTTCCAAAAAAGCGTCCCTGTGCAGATTATGTAATCCACTTGAGCTACACTTTGTATTCTGTCCTCAAACGTGCCAAGGCAGCCAGATGGGAAAAGAAGAAATAAAATTATTTCTAGTCCTAGAACACGTGATTGTGAATGGAGCAGTCTAAGGAATCCACAAAAAGCAAATAGGAAAAGTATGAGCTGGGATTTAGC